ACATCTGGTGTCAATGTCAGAAGAAAACCCCATGATTATAATTGCTTGTTTCTTACTTTCAGCTATTAAATACTGCCAACGTTTAAGTACATCAGTATGTTGAAATACATTATCATTTCCGTAAATTGATAAACAAAAAGCGGGTGATTTATCCACCAATGGTTGTGCGGCGAAAACATAAGCATTATTGCAAATTGTCTCGTTCATAAATGCACGTGAAATATCATTAACAGAATTAACGTAAAATTTGTTAGTTAATGGAAACCCTTTCTTTTTACATAAAGGAAACAAGAATCCCACAAGTTTATTTAAATTTGAATTATAATTTACTCTCTTTAAAATAGCAGTTTGATCTTTACTCACAAAAATGGCCATAGGATAATTCCTTTTTGTAAGATAGTCTTTTAACTCTGTAAACCTAACAACTCCTGAGATTTTTGGATGATTATCTAATGTTCTCATGAGTGTAGATATAGAAGGAAGTGATTGTGATAAGTTTGAATATAAAGTTTCGTAAAGCAATCGACCACCAATCATAAAAATATAAAGACCAAAGAGTTTTAGAGGTTCAGAGAATCTATACCTTTGTGCGTTGCATCGGCTATTATTTTCGGCGGTTTTTAGGAGTGCTTGTAATAATCCTATAGATGTAGTTGAATTATCTTTAATAGGAGTAGACTTTATTGAATCATTAAAACTTGCTCTAACTTGGGGGTTTTCAACTATTAATTTTTCCACTACATTTAAGATTTCATAGTAGTCTGTTAATTTAGTTTGATTTTGATTTGCACCAGCAGACATTAATATATTTTGAATGCGCAAACTTCTTTGGCTGTACTTTACTGCTTTCGGAGGCTCTAGTACACAAACTGGTGCAGCAGAACTATTGGCCTCATTTATAACTCTGCTGTATACAAAATCCTCAACCTCATCTAAATTATCTATTATAACGTGATTGTTTTCATCTCGGTTCCCATCTTGATTTTCATCCTCGTTTTCATCAGTCATATTTACTCTTTCTAGTGGTTGTAAACTTAATTCCTGTACCTCCTCTATCCGGTCTTCCATAACGTGAGTGTTTTCATCTGGGTTTTCATCTTGATTTTGATCAGTCATCTTTATTCTTTCTGGGGGTTGTACACCTATTTCCAGTACCGCTTCTGGCTGGTCTACTATATAAACATTATTTACCTCTTGTGAAGAAATGTCTTCAGTCTGAGTAGGTTGTTGATTAATAAGGAAAGGTAATATACTAGAATTCTTCTGTAGTGTCGTTTTTTGCACTTGTTTTTGTTTAAGCGTAAGATGATTTTTTAAGTGTTTGTTAAAATTGGATAACACCCAATGAGTTCCATATTTACGTTTAGTATTAGTAATCCGTAGGAACATGGAACATAAAGGACATTTTATTTTCGCAGAGTTAGGATCAGCTTCACTGACATTGTTTGTTATTTCCTTCGTACTTGACAATATGGATATACTTTCTTTATTATGATTTTGTAACCCTAAGTTAGATTCTTTTAATAAGTTTTTAATGTAATTTGTTATAAGGCCATTTAGATAATTGCTTATATTTTGTACAACTTTCGTTTCGGACGTCTCATTAGATTCTACTGTTAGCTTCGAGCTTTGATATCTTTGTACCTTCTTTTTATTGCTTGATTTATTTTCAGTTAATTTAATTTTCTTTAATTTATTTATTGATAAGTGAACTAATTCTAAAATCAGTTTGTTATGACCTTCACGAATTTTGAACATTTCTGGTTTACTTGCGTATATACCATAAAGAATTTTAACTTCCTGGTTATCTAATAAATTGGGCAAGTCTTCCCGAGCAAATCGTTCTAGCTCTAACATAGACGATTCATTAAAAGCTGCTATTGAAGGAATATTATCAAAACCTGTATAGAGAAACAAAGTTTTTAAGTAATCTGGGAATATAAAATCTTCAAACTCTTTAACTTCGTCTATAATTTTTCCAATTTTATCTCTTTCAATGGCGTCAGATACAGATTCAGCCATTTTGCTAAAACAACAATACCAACAATTTATTACGTTGCTTTTCTTTTTGTGTATTTCATAAAACTACTTTGCAACTTTTCACTTTGGACTTAGCTTATTTTAGTAAATGTATGTTTCATAAAAGGGAAACTTAACGATTTAGGAAGTAAAATTTGAAAAGCAATTTGCAAAGTGAAAATGAAAAATTAATAATCTGCAAAGATAACGACATTATTTTAAAAAACACAAGTATTTTGCATTCGTAAATTTGCAAAGTCTAAAGTGAAAAGTTGCAAAGTAGTTTTATGAAATAGGCCCCAGATCTTACTTTATTTCCTAACATGGACTCATAACATGCTTCTAATATCTCAGTTTTATTATAACTGGCAGGTCCCAACTCTATATTTTTTCATTTATGACCTTGTTAAAAAATATGGCGCGGGAATCACCAACGTAAACGTAAACATTATGTTCGAGTGCTTTGGACATCTTTTATTTTGTAAACTTTGCTATCGCTTACAGTTATTTTTATTATTATTGTTTTTTGTCTAGGATAACCGTAGTCAGCAGATATAGATAGCAGGTTATTTGACCATTAATCTTTCAAAGCCAACATATTTGCATGCTTTTATTTTATTTATTTTTTCTAAAATTGTGATGGATATCACGTCAAGAGTATATAGAAGATAGAATTCGAATCAAAAGAATACTCAAAATAATTAGAATTCAGAAAGGAATGTTTTAATCACAGTCACTAACTAAAACTCACTCCTTCACGCGAAACGAATAAAACAAAGAGGTTAGAAATAATGTAGAGTTGGATGCTGTACTTATTAACTGTACCTAAATAAAATTGGAAATAACGTGTACTGCAAAATACTGCATAGATACTGCAGAGTATTGCATACGTACTGCATGATACTGCATACGTACTGCATAGTACTGCATACGTACTGCATAGTACTGCATACGTACTGCATAATACTGCATATATACTGCATGATACTGCATATGTACTGCATAGTACTGCCTAATACTGCACACACGTACTGCAGAAAAAGCGTACAGTACTGCATAGAGTGGTTGACCCCTCGTGCCCGCCTAATGAGTTCCCTTGCATCTCAGAACTGAGCTATATTAAAGGGAAAAGTCACATAGGGTTAGGTAGAATGACGACTGAGTGACATGGGTGACAGTTGGTTTAAGAGTGTTCTTTGCTCCTCCTTTTAACAAGTTAGAATCTGACCTAATACTTAGTGGTAGAAAGCAGCTTATATGTAACTTTAATGAATCGCTTCTTGCAAAAATTTTATTACACACGGAACACTCATAGATTGTGTTTTTTAATTACACTTTTAAGACAAATAAATTTAAATCAAGTTTTAAACAAAAATAACATGGGAGGGAAAAATAATTTAACGAAAAAAATTTGGTTAGATTAACATTACATACCGACGGAATACAACTTCATGGAGCAGTTTTGACTGATGGCCGGTCTTGTTAGAGGACCACTTTACTCTATGATTAGAATTGTTCCCACAATTTGCTATAGAAGTTGAATAAATTATATAAAAGGTAATAAGTAAATGTTTTGTAAACGTTGCCATTGCATTTAAAAACAATGTATCAATATACCGACGTGGTGAAGGCGCCAGGCACACTTCGGTAGTAGTAGTAGAATAGAAAAAGCACGTGGAGTCGGATTCTGAATAACAAGAGATAAGGTCAGTATAAAGCAAAAAAATAAATCTTTGATCATTTTAAAATACAATGCAATAAAAGTAAGGGTTAGTTTACTATATGTAAATTAAGAATCAAATTACTAAAAATTTAGCTGATATCAAACTTGCATGATGAATATACTAAGGGGTGTAATAATATGTTGTGAAATAAGTGGAGATTAAAGTGCAATTACGAAGCATTTAAAAATAGTAATGATGAAACTTGCAATTTTATAGACAAAATATTTCTTTAATTAATAAGTATAAATGGGTACCCACTATGTGTGGAAAGGTGTTATATGTGAGACTAGTTTGATAGCAGATACCTAAATATACAAATAGTAATTGTACGAAGTTTCTTTTCAGAAAAAAATTGAGGAACGCGGGGAACAAATGTGAATGCAAATGTAGATGATGAAATTAATGACTTAAAAGCTCAGTTAAAAGAACTAAAAAATAATTTAAAGCAATAACGAAAAGTACAAAATCCTGCTTGTATATTGCAGAAGGATACATCTTATGATGTTTGGCTAAAGATAGTTGAAAATGATATTAGAACCTTCGGCTATGTATATCTAATAGACAAAAATGAAACGAAGCCTACTGTTTCAGCAGAGGAAGAAAGAAGTAGATGTGGCTTTGCTGTAGGATATTTAATAAGTAGATTAGATGATGAATATTAGAAACTGTTTGTGATGTAGAAGAACCTGTACAAGTGCTAGAAAAGCTAGATTCTTTGAGACATCCAAAAATACCATCTACAAAGTTTATACTTAAGAGGTTATGGTCGAGTCTGACCTATTTAAAAGTTAAAGAGTCTGCCTCAGAGTCCACAGCTCGGTTTGAGGAAGCAACTCGTAATCTTATGCAAGTTGCAGAAGATGAATTGAAAGAAGAACATATTAGTGAGAATTTTCTTACGGCAATTAATAATAGTATACCTGAAGTAATTAGAAGGTATGATGCAGCTGGAGAAAAGATTTCACTAAACGAGTTAAATTCTATGATATTAAATACAAAAGCAAGTGAGGCAGAAGCGAAAGCACGATGTATAGAGACAGAGTCTACAATGGCTCTTAATGCTGTTACTTAAAAAGCAAACACAAAGAGAAGCGAAAAAATAAGGTCAGAACAAGTTAAAAAGGTCTATTATGGATGTAAAAAACCAAACCATATGAGCTTTGAATGTTAAAGCAAGACCATGTAGAAGAAGAAAAATTAGTTGCTGAAATCGTGTAAAATAAGATGGCGTAGAAAGGAAGAAGGCTGTATAAAAATATGGGAACAAGAGGACGTAAAGGTTCACAGTCGAGAGGAAGTGGTAAAAAGACCCTCTTCAGAAAGGTCAAACTTACTGGTAATAAAAATGAAAAGCCAAAATTTGCTTATATTGCAATGAACAAAAGTGACGAATCTTACCCTGAGAATATGGAGATCGACGGTGAAGCAAATATAGTAGAAATAGAAGGTAATACTTTGAATTCTTTAAATAGGATTACGTTTCTAGCTGATTCAGGGGCTAACGAACACTTTGTAAATAATATAAATTACCTAACTGATATAAAGAAAGTTGACAGAGAAAATAAGATTAAAGGTGCAAATTCAAATAAAAAGGCCAATTTAAAAATAAAATATCAGGGTGTGATTAATTTTAAACGTTTAAATGGGAATGTAGGAAAATTAAAAAATGTTTTGTATTCTAAGAATTTAACTAAAAACTTATTTGCATTATAGAAGTTGGTTAATAAAGGTGCCAAAATAAATTTAACTGAACATGGAATAAATATTATAAATAAAAAATCTGATAAAGTAATTAAAAGTGGTCAATATGATGGGAGATTCTGGTGGTTGAATTTTGAGCTTGGTGATAACATCAGTGAGCAAAACAAAATATTTGTTAAATTCTAAATCAGAAGTTGAGATAGATGGTGATCATTATTATGGTAAGTCAAATGATTAAAATAATACAATTATTGTACAGACAAAGATTTTTGTTATAAGGACATAAATAATGAAAATACTCTGGAGAAATATATTAAATGTGTGAGTGAAATGAATAAATCTGATCTTGAGGAAATCAATAAAAGAAAAGTTGAAAGTTTGAAAAGAAATATGTCTTTTATGGCACTATCGGCTAGGTCATGTATCTAAATCCTACTTAGAGCGTAGGCAATAAATGGTGCAGAGTTAAAATCAGTAAAGTTCACAAATGAAATTTAAGATTGTAAAGTTTGTAAGAGAGCAAAAATAGTAAGAGAATCATGCAAGTCTGTTGGAACATTTTCCAGTGAAAAAGTATGGAAATATATTCCCCTGCTAGCGAGCATTGTAAAATGTGTTTCCAATGTTTATTAGTGGTGTAATATTGGGTTACTTTCAACTACTTGTAACGTTTCGTTACTTTCGATTCCAATACTTGTTACTTCGGATCCGTTATTCGAGTACTTATTTTTTTAAATTTTACATTAGGTACCAATGTGATATTGGTATTTCGTATTGAAATCGGATATCGCTATTTAAGCTATTTAAATACATTGTAGGATCACAGGTTGGTAGGATCATAAGGGAAATAATTATTATCAAGCGACATTACAAAGTCTTTTTCTTGCAATAAATAACTATGTTAACATATTTTTATTATTACATTTTTTATTTAATTTTTTATGGGATAAGGTTATTAAAAATACAGAAAGTATAGAAATAAAAATTATAATACAAAGGTATAATACAAACCGACATTATAGCTTTTATTACAAAAATATAATTTTTTTTTATAATTTTTCTTATAGCTTCATTTGGAGAATACTTTGGTTGGCGTTAAGAAATAATAAACTTTGGACATTCTTGCCTTTAATGGAGCTTCTTTTACGGGATACAACTTCTCCTGATTTTGAAAATATCCGTTCTGAAGATACGAAAAAGAAGCTGCAATTAAAATTAGAGAAGAATTTAAGAATTATTTTAATGGTGTTGGAAGAGTATCCTGGCAAGATAATATGATTTAAGTCAATTCATATTATTTTAGTTTTCATATATTAGTTTTTAGTTAAAATAACATATTTAACCTAGTTACTCATTTATACATTTATATATTTTCTTAGTCTTAGTTGTATATATGCATAAATCAGTGGCGGCTCGTGGTAATTTGAAATGGGTGTTCACTTTTTCCAATAATTTTATCATTTGTAAGTTCGGATCAAAACCTTGTACAAGAGTCAATATCACTGTTTTTTTATTATTTGAGTTTGTATTAAGTGTAATTATTATTATCAACATCATACTGTTTTCAAGCATTACAACTATTAATAAATGAATATTTTAGTTATTGTAATATTTGTTTTTTTTTAATACGTTGAAAACAATCTAAACATTATTAGTTAGTAAACTGACCTTTCCTCATAATTTGAGATTATTTTTAAATATATATCAGGTAATGTAGAAACTTTACATTGATTTTTGTGTAAAAAATTTTATATGTAACTTTACCTACCATTTTTTAGTTTTTATTGTAAGTTTAATCATTTTCACAATTTGTCACAGATGTCAAATAAAAAATATATTTTTTAAATACCTTTTATTGGCAAATAAAATAAGAACTAAAATGTTTTAAATGTTTATTTTATAAGATCAGTCCCATCACAATACATATTACACACACACAAACTAGAATAAAGATATATAATGCCTGGAATTCTAGAGGATACTCTTCGTAGTTTAACAGACCCCCTTAACCCCCATTTTCAACCAGATTGTTTTCACAATCAATAGGCCTCATCTGCTTTTAGAGATTAATGTTTGCTAAACATTTCAAGTTTATATCATTTTTCAGTTAGGATTTTTTTTATATTTTAACCCCCCTTAATTCCCCCATATATTCATTTTTTTCAGTATCAATAGACTTTATCTTCTTATAAAGCTTAATTTTTACTAAAAATTTCATGTTGATATCGCTTAAAATTTTCAAGTTGATTTCATTTCTCATTTTTGACTTATCGTGTAGACAAAAAACCTGACATCGGACAGACAGACAAAATAAACCTATAATACTCTTCAAAGAATACTGTATGAAGAGTAGAAAAAAAAATATATGAGGTAAAATAAACAATTTAAGAAGGTCAACAATAATATTCAACTTCTTTTATCAAAGGATACTAAAAGTTTGAAATAGCAGCCCATAATTGAACACAGAACACAGAAATCTGTGAACTAAACTAGTGAGATGCATATCGTAAAATGTTATCACACTTAATTCTCCATATGACCCTTTCTAAGTGTATTTCACAGAACATTCCAAAGTATTCTTGCTTTCACTAATGTCCTACCCTCATGGCTGCTTTTGCATGTCCAAGTTTACTAAAAAATAATGTGTTTTAATAAATAATAGAATAATAACAATTTTGTTTAAATAGGTAAATCGGCTTCATCTGTATTTTTAAATTATTGTTTAATTATAGATAGTATATTAATGTTTTGATATGTACTTATAGGATTGATTAGCCAGAGCATGTAGATGTGGGATGTGACTTGTTAAATGCTTAATCAAAATCACAATTTACGTTTGATACTTATTTCGAGACATTCTTTAGTACCAACTGTAAACTACTTTACCAATACCCTTATTTTTATTTAATACCTGTAGTGATTCTAATTAACATAACATTTAATATTTTTGAAAATACTAAATTATACAAACAAGGCAATAAAAAAATATCATTAAAATAAAATATTTCTTGTTTGTATGTAACAAACGACCTTGGTTAGAGGGTAACACGATTGATAATTGTAAACATAACTTTATATAGGTAAACTATTTAATTGTACATACCATTTCTTAGGTAAAATTTCTCATCGAGTATATTAAATTAATTGGCTGATCCATTCTTCTGATTTAGACTTTTAAAGTGAAAACCATTTGTCTCTTTATCTTAATCAAATTTTTATTGTATATTTCCATAATGATGTCAAATAGTTACCTCATCAGAATAATTAAATTTTTCCTTTTAGCAGATTTTGTGGGAAAAAATTTACAGATTTTTTGTTTACTTCTTACTTCATAGTATTTACAATTGTGTACAAAATAGACCATTTTGAAGTTGTCTTTGAATGGTCCAAACAAAATATAAAACAAATTATAGTCGTAAAACTTTATTACTGCTTTTTTATAAAGTAAATAAACAAAATATAACCTTAAAATATTTTATTTATTTACCTTGCCTTAAAAGTTTTTCTTGAACAATAATTACATTGACACACGTCCTTCCAATTTATTAAAGTTGCAGTTCTCAATTAAACACATTTTTTTAAATAATCACAAATAAAATAATCTTAATTTTATTAAAATCGGTGGAATGACAGTATTGACATTGACAGTTTTTACTTTGATTTGGTACATAGTTGCCAGAATGTTTTTGTTATGTACCAGATTTGTCTAAAAAATGTACCAGATTCCTTAAATGTGCCAGATTTTTCGAATTCTATTTGCAGTGACATCTAAATTCATTAAAGAGGAAAAAAGGGGATCTTTATTGATAACGAACCCAAACAAGGAACACAATATATACATATATTTTACACGTGAACACTGATGCATGCAGAATGTACTACATCTAGTACAATTGTGAATTGTACTAGACTGGCAACACTGGTTTGGCAAACTTGTTTGTGAGCGGCGCGCCAATTAATTTGTTCTTTGACAGTTTGAAGGATCTGTTGGCGTGTTTTCATCTCTTTTTAGCTATATGTATTCGTCAAATCGTCTCACTCGTGTTAGGCTCACTCCTCATAATGCGCCACAGACAAGGTTTACTTAAGCCTTGGTTTCTTTGAACACTACGTCGCGGTGAGCGGACAGTCCGTCAATCGTCGCGTTTTGACGATTTAAATGGGAATGGTTTTCTTGAATCCGCTTAGCTGAGCAGGACGGCGTCATGCCGCTGATTTGTCGCGAAGAGTCGGTTGATATCTGTTGAGTTTGATATCAGCGGAATCGTCGGCGTGTGCGGAGACTATATTGTTATTAATTTTAAAACAATGAGTGACAACTTCACACATACAGATGACATCATGACTTTATTTTTAGGTTTATTGGAAATTAGGTCCTTTATGAAACTCAACACGAATACAAAAAGATCTGTAGAAAATCTAAAATACTCCCTAAATTTGGTTTCATTTCCAAAAAGCCTCCGCTGCACAGTGATATTAAAGGTACCTTCTGTATCGCGACACAAAAACAACTCATCCACTGGCTTATTGGAAACTTTGACGGTTGCAATTGCCAGTTCCCTTTGTTCTTCCTCTTCCAACAATAATAACAACGCAAACAATTTATTTGCATCCATTTTAGTATCTTTCTTTTACATTCATAATACATAAACAGCACGTACAGACATAGAGAAAGTATCATTTTCTATATTTTTTAACAAACCACCTCGGGCGAAAATTGCTGTTCTCAGCGGTCGACGGACTGTCCGCTCACCGCGACGGAGTGTTCAAAGAAACCAAGGCTTTAGGTATATTGTGCCACAGAGACGCGATCAGCCAGAAAGCAATGATGTACCAAAAAAATATAGATTAACACGTATGAAAATAAAAATATTAAAATTAAATTTTTATGTTTTTATGTAATTTTAAAATAATGTGTCTTTATGAAATTGAACTGGGTGTTCACTGCACAAATGAACCAATGGAGAAACCGCCCCTGGCATAAATCCAAATTAAAACTCTATCTGTTTCATTATGTTTAGTTTTATATTAATATTAGTTTGAGGTAATAAATAAAAAATAAAACAAATTAAAATGTATATTTTTGGCTACTAAAAAAAATCTATTCACAACGTTTGGCCCTATACTCTCTTTTTGCAGTTATTACTAGATGCATGATATCTGATTTAAGGGTATCTAAAATGTCTTCATCTTTTATAGTTTTCATCTCCTTGGCAAAATATCTACAAATAAAAATAATTAAAAAAAATTGGTGTAAACAAAATGCTTTTTCTATTATCATTGTGAAGAAGTTTTTTGGTATACTGGTCACATTACTTACTGTGAAAAGTCATTTAGCTCTGTGTCATCCTGTTTCAACAGCTCTATCTTTTTATTAGTTATGTTTTTGAGTGCACTTGTTGCACATTCTAACATATTAGAGTATTGGTTATCCTCCAATTTTCTTTTTTTTGAAACAGGCGTTTCTCTTTTTTTATATGCAGGAGTCTCGTTATGTGAATCATGTGTTCTGTTTGGTGTTTTATTTGAATATGGCACAGATGATGATGGCGTATCTTCATTAACTTCAAAATCCGGTGTAAATGGTTTTGAGGCATCATCAATACTGCCCTCGAACAGTACATCACCTTCCTCTTCTATTTCCTAAAAAAATTGATAGGTTAAAAAAATTGTGTGATTTTATAAAACTATGTTGGAATTTTTTAAGAGTTTCATTTATACATGTACAATTATATAATTAACTTTTTTTTATTAAAATTGTACTGAACATAAATTAAAAACATGCTTTTACAGCCTAATTTAGTTTTTATGCAGTATTCTGAAACCTGAAAACAATAGTCTACTCACTGTGTTGGCTGGATCGAGATTGGATTGTCCTTCAACTATGACCTCAGCATCATCTAAAAACCTTAGCATTTCGAAACACCATAATTTTGGAACATAAATTTCGTCAGGAGAAGCACCACTTAATTCGCTCTTCCTTATTTTGTTTCTTTCGCTACTATACTGGGTCCGTAGCGTGTGGATTTTGGCTGTTACCATGGCTTTGGTAAATTCAATAGAGGGTTTTACATTTCTTAAGCCGCTTGTAATATCCTGGTAAGCTTGGTTCCTGGTTTCTCTGTTGTGGTATTCCTTGGATTTAACTTTATACAGGCAGAGATAGTTCTCATACAGGAGAATTAAATGTGTAGTCAATTCACTGGTCCATTGTTGTTTGCTCATGCTACAATAAATTAACTTTAAAAAAATTGGAACCTTAAATTTTATTTTACATATTCATGAAAAAAAAAAAATTAGTTACCTTGAAGATCTTGTTGATATGCCAAATAAGTACAGAAATTAAACTACGAAAAAACTGAACTCAATAAAAAACAAATACACACAATTACTATAATACTAAAAATCAAATTGTCTCTTTCAACGAACGAACTGAACTCAATAAAAAAAATACCAAATAAACATACAAGTGCGTCTGTTCATACAACCATAGGAAGACTCACAATAAAGAAACAACATGGAGACAGGAAAGAGATGAACAAAGTTTGCTTGTTATTTCAACGATCAACAAGGCATTGATACCAACTACTTTAATTTTTTTTATTATCATGAGTACCACATTAATTTGTTTTAAAATTTAGGTTGCTTTCATAAAAAGTCCCTAAAAGTTACCAAAATTGCACGCAATTGACCTTAAAAATTAGAAATATTTCTATATTTTTGCTTGCCTGCTTATTGCAGCAAACGTGCAATGAACACTCTGAAAGGCATACGCAGTAGTCACGAAAAAAAGGCCAGCAATGGAATTGCAAGCAACATGCTGTAATCTATGAGCCCTTTTAGACGTCGAAAACCTATATCATCTACGATAGAAAAAGGCTGTAAATCGTATATCATGTTTAAAATTAATCCATTTATTTTGTCTTGTTTTGGTAAAGATATTGGTCTAGATACAAAATTTTTCCCAACGATGATTGAACTTTAAGTTTTTTTGAGACCTGATGAGTTGGTTCTAATGCTGATTCCGACTTTGATGTCAACTGTGGTATTGTACTTGCGGTAGATGTTGATGCTTCTCCTTGGTAGCTTTCGGCTTCTAAAAGAAAACAAAATGAATTTAGTAAAAAATTACCAATTTAATTTTGACCAACTAGAAATTACATTCTTTGGACTTTTTTTCCTAATTTTTCTTAAATGAATTTTCTTTAATGAATTAACAAAATTACGATTTTAGTGATTTTACCTTCACTGTTTGTGGCCTTTTGTTCAACCAGCACGGAAATTCTGGTAACAGATTTATCGAGAATAATCGTTGGATGCTTGCTGGAAAGATGTTTTTTCAAGTTTGAAGTCGTACCTCCCTTGTAAAAATATATTGTGCTACATAATGTACACTTAGCCTTATCACTTGAAGAAGTCGTAGTAAAATATTTCCAAATATCACTTCTCTTCTGAGATCCAGACATATTAAACCTTAAAATATTTTAATGTTAAATATAATATTTTCTAATAGCGGAAAATTTTACTTACAAAATATGGGAAAACTTTAAACAACAAAAATATAATTAATAAAATGCACAAATCAAATCGCAAACGTCACTGCAAAACTATAGTATAAAGATTGGGACCACAATTTACCTACCAGGGAATCACCGAATTGCTTCAATCGAAACAATCGAAACTTGCATTCTCGATATCCAAAATCCCTGCGTTAGGCCGCAAATCAACACAACACATCGTCGACCGCCGAGCTCGAAAGTCGCCGATTCAGCCATTCGTTATTACGGTATTTACTCTTAAGCCGGCTACTCACTATTCGTTGATTCGTTCCGTTAATGCGATTCGTCGGTTCATTTCGTTAATTCGTGCTATGACCATCCGACGCATTACATCCTACTTATTATGCGTTAATTCACTTCGCTTCGATGATGCATGGAAATTCGTGCATTGTGCGACCAAAAAACTTCAATGTCAGAATAAAAATATACTGGTCAAGTTTACTACGGTTATCTACTGTTTAAAACAAACATTTTGTGTTTTTTTTATTGTCGTTAGTAAAAATGGATTCTGAAGAAGACCTGCTTCTTCTCGCTGCAGCTCAAGCTTGTTATGTAGTTATTTCGAATTCAAATAAAAAGAAAAAAAAAGAAGATGGTGGACCCAGTCTTTATATAAAAGCAGATCTCGGTAAGTATACATCTTTTATTACCTATTAATTAAACGCATTGCAACTAAAGTTAAAGGCAAATTTGTACGAACTGTTTTATGTATTTTATATTTGTAGGTACAACTGTACTACCATGATCGTGGATATGCTTAAGGAACCGTCTGGCAAATTTCATAACTTTTGCAGGATCAGTTATGAAGACTTTGAGTTGCTCTTGAATAAAATTTGTCCCCAAATACAGAAAAAGGACACACAATTCAGGTTATCCATACCAGCAAAAGAAAGACTAGCTGTTACGTTGAGATATTTGGCATCTGGCGACTCATATCAAAGCTTAAGTTTCCTCTTTAAAATTTCTCCTTAAATAATATCGGTGATAGTACCAGAAGTATGCCAAGCACTTGTTATTGCACTATCAGAGCATTTAAAGGTGAGTATATTTATTATTTTATTATAAAAACAATTAAATGCACAACATGATAGATGCTATGAAAATAATAAAAAAAGTTTTAAAGAAAAAAAAAATATATTAATAATTCTAAGTATTAACAAATACCAAAAAAAAACATGCACCAGGTCTACTGAGGCCAGTGAGATATTTCATCTTCAGGTTCCGCTAAACATTGGGATTGCTCATTGGTGTGATTTGTAGACTGAAATTTTTGTGTTTGGAAAATATCCTGTGAGCTAGATTGCAATATTAGAGATAATTGCTGCTGAGAAGCTTCATTTACAGCAGAAGGTGGCTGCAGAGTTATGTAGCGACTGTTCATAAAAACAGGATGTCGGCTGTGATTGAGGGAGATACTTTGCACATGAAGAGCCAGGAGAAGGCAGAGGTGTGGCAATAACAGGTTGTGATTGAGGGGAATACTGTGCACATGAAGAGCCAGGTGAAGGCAGAGGTATGGTAATAATATGGGATGAATGGGAAGAGGAAGACCTGGGTGACGGTAACATCGATGAATCGAAAGTCAGATCAAACATGATATTATCTATTTTATGCATAGCTAAGCGTTGTGTACGTCCATTCAGCCTTCGTAACTTTATGGCAAGGAGTTCCCCATATACGGTGCACTCATCTCGACTCACACAGCTAGAATTTCTTGTAACTATTTTTTCCTTGATTGCTAAAAGCTCATTGAATGCCACATCGGCACGATTTTGCTCCTTCCTTGGTCGCTTCATACTACTTCGCTTTGCTGGTCGTTTTGGCGACTGGTTCTTTTCTAATAGAAAAAAAAAGTTATATATAGTTAAAAAGCAAAAAAAATGGTACCTTCATTGATAGAAAGCTCTTTAGTTTCCTTATTTTCATTAAAATATATTTGTGATGTCTCAGTATCATTAAAAAAATAAATAAATAAATAAATTATCTGATCTCTCCTTATCATCTTTGTTTAGGTCTTCATTACCATCTAAATTAGGTATCCTACAAAAATAATATTTATTATTTCAGACTCCACAATCTCCTGTAGAATGGAAAAAAATTGCGCAGTTATTTGATGAACGTTGGCATTTTCCACACTGTTGCGGACCCATTGACGGGAAGCATGTGATTCTCCAAGCACCAGTAAATAGTGGTAGTGAATATTTCAATTATAAATCATAAATCACATTTAGCATAAATTTAATGGCATTATGTGACGCCGATTATTGTATAACATATGCTAATATTGGATCACCCGGTCGAATGTCAGACGGAGGAATATTTTACAATTGTAAGCTATCCCAGCATATGGAAATGGGCACAATCAATTTTCCTCCCGACGATGTTATAACAAATACTAATAAAGTTTTACCATATGTTATAGTAGGTGACAATGCCTTTCCCCTAAAAAATAATATAATGGTTCCTTATCCGGGAATACATGATAAAGGTTCTCCGAAACGAATATATAACTACAGACTGTCCAGAGCACGAAGAATTATTGAAAATGTCTTTGGAATTATGGCATCGGTATTTCGCATCTTTAGAACACCCATTCTGCTCAATCCAGAAAAGGCAAATGTAATTGTACACACTTGTGTACTTTTGCATAATTTTTTGCGCAGGAGCAAGACCTTACGAAACAGTTACACACCAACTGGGACATTTGATGTAGAGGTAGAGGAAAATTTTGTTGCTGGATCGTGGAGAAATGATAATGACGGAATGACATCATTTAAGCCATTAAAAAGGATTGCTAGTTTATCTACTTAAACTGTAAGTACGCAAAGTTTAAAACAAATTAGTTTCCATTTTTTTTATGATAATATCATATACACAGGGCGACTCAAAAACAAATTTATGTAGAAAACCCTGTATATGTTAATTAGTTTGTTTCAACCTGCAAATAAACAAAAAAATCTCATAAGTTGTTTTTACTTACCAACGTGTCAACTTTTCCTTTCGGAGTGTATATCCCGTGTAGAAAGTTATCTAAAAATGAGTATGGCGGACATGTTGGTTTATATATGTCGCATATCCCTGCTCCCGATTTCTGGCTACAGAATACCTTTCTCCTGTAGCCTCGGTAAGTTTGAAAAAGACTTTCTTTTTTCTTTTTTAATTCATCGATGTTCTCAGTTCCCATTTCTTCAGCAATGGTTTTGAAAGCATCATGCACTTTATTCCGATTTTTTTTGTTTTTGTCTCCTGGATTCCATAAACATGGATACAATTGTATTTGTTGTATAAATTTAAAAATAATATCGTCATTCCATTTCATTTTGAAGTAAACTAAACACACACGACTGTTTTCTTCAACGAATTATTCGCGACTGAGATCAGACCGAACACGTTCAACTTCGTAAATTACTTCGACGAATTGACGCAGTAACGAATAGTGAGTAGCGGAATTTAGTTGTAGTACTTACAATTTATAGAATCATCGGTCGGACCGGCGACGGTCTGTCAACGCTCCGAAGTCGTCAAGAAACGAGTACTCGAATAACCTTTTATAAGTTGTATTCAGTATTCGTTACTTCGGATCCGATTGAGTAACGAGTACTCGAGTAACGAATAACTACTTTTTTTACAGCTCTAGTATTTATACTTAAAGTCTGCGCATTGAAATTGAATATTTGATATAAAGTAGAAAGACAAACTGACAAACCTTTTTTTTTTTTAAATATCTAACCTACAATTTTAATCTAAAAATCTTGTAACTTAATTACTTATCTAAGAAGTCCCCATTGGGCTGTCTTAATTGTTTCTATAGGAAAGCATCACAAGTTGGCGTGACGATTTATTACAGTTTTACACTAGCACTAACATTAACGTTCACTGCACTAGCTCAAATGGCTTCTTCCTTTTGAGCCTTCTGTTGAGTGTAGAGTTGTCCAGTAATTGCAGCGCTTCTTCGTTGACGTGGGATTGGAGTTGATCCTCATGTTTCGCAGCATAGATTCAGATTGGTTATGGATTTGTTTATAAATTAGCAGTTTGTTGTGCACTGGCAATTTAGATTTTCTTCCTAGGAGCCAATACATTTTTTTAAATTTAAGTTCAAGTTCTTTACGGTTTATTTTATGTGCTCTTTCCATTTACATCTAGGTTCATCCCTAGGTATTTGGCCGAATTGTGATGCGGAATAACGTCATTGTTTATTCTTATTTGTTTTTGTTCATTTGGCCGAAGAGTAAAATCAACATGCACTGATTTAGTTTGATTTATTTTTATTTTCCACTTTTTTGTCCATCGATTGATTCTGTTGCAAGTTTCCTGAAGTTTTTCTGAGGTCTCTGTATTAGTTCCGCCAACTGCCAATATTGCAGTGTCATCCGCAAATGTTGCTATTTTAACAGATTGTTGTCGAGGGATATCGCTGGTGTATAATAAGTATAGAACCGGTCCTAGCACACTGCTTTGTGGGACACCTGCTTTAATTTCTTCCATTTCGAAGTAAGCCTCGTCTTGCTTTACTCTTAACATTCTTCCCATTAGATATGATTGTAGAATGTCGACATATTGTCTAGAAAGCATTTTTTTCAAGTTTCTGTATTAGGCCAGCGTGCCAAACCTTGTCAAATGCTTGGTCTACGTCAAGAAATATGGCTGAACATATATATTTTTCTTTGTAAGCTTTTTCGATGATATCGGCTATCCTGTGTACTTGATCTATTGTCGAGCGTTTGTTTCTAAAACCAAATTGGTGCGAATAGATCAGATTTTTATTTTCAATTATTGGTTTTAGTCGTTTTAGTAGTAGTTTTTAAATTAACTTAGATATAATCGGTAACAATAATATAGGTCTATATGATGACACTTCATTCAGAGGTTTTCCTGCCTTAGGAATTAGGATAACTTCAGCCATTTTCCTCGCATCAGGTATATATTTAAGGCGAAATGCTGCATTTATGAGATATGTCAATTTAACAATAGCCTTCCGTTGTAGTTTCTTTAATATTTCTCCAGTAATAAGGTCATATCCTGGGGCTTTGATGTTTGTCTGAATTTCTTTCATAACTTCATCGGGAGTAACTAGCTTAATTTCAAGTTGTTCCATATTATGGATGGTCTCATTAGGAGTGTCTTGATTTTCATCTAATTGGAACGTCTTTTGTAGGTGGTCAGCGAAAATATCAGCTTTTTGTTGATTGTCTCTTGCCCATTTGTTATCTGCTATTCTGATTGGCGGACAGTGTTTACACGAATTTTTCATCTTTTTAGTTGCCTTCCAGAGTGAATAATCAGTTTCTTTATCATTTGTTAGCCCTACTAGGTATCTGTTGAAGGATTCTTCTTTGTGATTTAGGATTTCTCTTCTCAGTCTTTGGGTAGCCCTATTTAATATATTTTTATCTTCTGATGATCTTGTCATCTGTCATTTCTTCCTTAGTTTTCTTTTTTCTGCTACCAGTTCTCTTATCTCGGCAGGATAGTTTTGCCAGCTCTTAATCTTTTTACTTTTGGTGTGTTTCTCCATGCCGCTTGCTGGATTTCAACTATAAACCTTTCCAGTTCTTCATCTAGCTGGTTTTTCGTTTTTAGTGCTATGGTCAGATGAATAATATTTGTTAAGTCCTCTTGGAAACCTTCCCAATTAGTTTTCCTATTTGCTAGGGTCGGTTTGGCTTCTTTTTGAATAACATTATCACTTAGAGTAAGGATTACTGCAGAATGGTCTGAATCCATATCAAAGTTTTCTTCTACTTGCGTATAGTTTGGTGAAATTTTCCTCAGAATAAAGAAATCCAAAAGGTCTGGAATCTTATTTGGGTCGGTGGGCCAATAGGTGGGTTTTTCAGAAGATTGGTATGTACAACCAGTTCTGATGCAGCTCGGTGCAATTCTTTTCCTTTGACTGTGGTTAATCTTGAACCCAGTTGGTGTTTTTGGAGTTGTAATCCTCACCGATTATAAATTTGTTACCTAGTTTTTTGAGTACATTGAGATAATTTTCTTTTTTCTGGTTGTATCTTGTATATGTATATTTAAGTTGTTGATACCTATTATTATAATTGTGTATTATTTCTTTCACGAAGATAATGGATAAACTAATTATTTTAAATCAATTAGAAATTGTGGAAGTTGCTGGGAAACTGGCAAATAATCCAAACAGTAACTTTTGGAGTAAAAGGAATAAAGAAGCAGATCTTTTTGAAAAATTAATTGACACACTATTTCGGTTAACGAAAATTACATAAAAGAAACCGCTGACCTATAGAGAAGTTCCGAGAATTGTTATTTTACTTTCAGTCTGATGTTAGCTTGCAATTAATAAAATCATAAAAATATTGTACTTGTTTAAATAAAAATATTTTTTTTAAAAACGATTTTTCAAATCGTATTATATTTTTGGCGCAGTCAGTAGGATTGTCACGAAGAATCCGACGTGATTAACTTTCGCTATTTTAATAGTTAATTGACAATTACGAACTTTCAACGTTTCGCACTAATTTTGAACTTTCCATCGTGAGAAAAGTTTTGTGGTGCTACCAAAAAATTGTACTGGAGACTTAGGGAGTTTTTAGATATAGAAACTCTTAAAATGCTGTATTTTTCATTCGTTCGGTCTAAACTGGAGTACGCTTCCATAATTTGGAATCCCCATTACCAAACTCATCGGAACAAGTTAGAATCAGTGCAGCGGCGATTCTTAAAATTCATTAGCTTTAAACAGGATGGCGTTTATTCGGAAATAGGTACACCTCATCAATATCTGCTTAAAAAAACATAACTTTAATGATCTTGAGTCAAGGCGAAATTGTCATCTAATCATTTTCATATACAAATTAGTACATAACAAAATCCATTACCAACAACTATTAGAAAAACTTGCTTTTAACGTTCCGAGAATTACTACACAGACGCAGTCTACTTTCTATCTCCCATCAGCAAGAACTAATATTTTAAATTCATCACCACTGCATAATATGTACATTATGTAACTTAGTCAGTAACATTATAGATATGTTTAATTGTAGTGTATATAGCATTAAGTCTGAAGTTTGTAAGTCCGTATAATGTTTACCTATTCTTATTTTTGTCAGAATTTCCTGCTCTGTAATTGGAATTGCCTGTTGAGCAGTGTATCAATAAATAAATAAATAAATGAAATAAAATAAAAATGTCAATACCGCCACCGGATCCAATTCTTTCTCCCAAACAGCAGTTAAAGCTTGGTAAAACACCTTCGGTGGCATCCAAAGCAGAAAAAACATGCGTAATGTAAACTCTAATAAACACAATCTTAAATATTTATTTCATCAATTAGATTCTGAGGTGGCTATTTTACAATTGGAACGTACATAAGTATAAAATCTTAAGAATATATTCCTCAGATGGGCACAATGGTACTGCTATTATTGCTAAAAAGAAATCTTTTGCCTTAGTATTATACATTTAACATTGTAAATAAACCATACGGTGTCCTTATTCAGGCGATATCAATAAATAAAATTTTAATTATAAATATTTACATCATATTAATGTCGAAAGTGAATAAAAATTTTTAGAAGGATATTTGTTACGTAAAAAATAATGTTTATCATATTATACTAGGTGGTGATATTAACTCAAAAAATTTATTATGGGGGAACAACTGCAACAATCATAATGGCAATTTCAGAGTGGACGGTATACTTGAACATAATTTTATATGCCATAAGGATGGATCAGCTAGGTACCAGGTTAAGTCTTCCTGGTCAGAATAAAAATGTAAAGCCGGCCCCAGACAATGCGTGTATTTGGCGATTATTCAGCGTACGGTACTTCGCGTAGTGTGTGGGAGCTCAACTGCGTATTCTTCGACATTCGCCCGCTATCCGTAGCAGGGTTTTGATTGCCATTACTATTGTAATAGATCTATTACAATTGACTCCAGTTCGTTACGTTGTTACTACAATTCGAAATATTGACAAATCTATTAAATTTTTCTGTTGCGCCATCTACATATGGGATAAATAGACGTATCGATTTTAGGAAGGTTGTTAATATGATTACTGTAAATTAGTATGAACGATTACGGCAGTTGTCGCTAGAGGGCTTGTGTATTATGTACCGTACCGAGAAAATTACATGTAATTTACATTTACTATACCATTTTACCATTCCAATCCGAAAACGACACACACTTTACATGGTCTAAGGACACACACGATATTGCGTTCTATGGTGTTGATGTTAATGTTCATCATCTTATATACGTATAATAGTGTTTTAATAAAATGGATAAGTAAGGTAAATGTACCTAAATCAGGCAGTTTTAGCAGTTCTGCCAAAGTA